CTATTTTTTAATGAGAAATAATTTTTTTGAGATATAAGGTTGTATAATTTGATTTTTATAAATTAGACGAAAAATATTATTTTTTGAACTTTTACAAAAATTAATTTTACAACTAATCTACATCTAACTGAAGAATCCCAATAAGGATGAAACTAGTATTAGACTTGCTAACCCTAAGTATATATAAACTACCTCATATAGAATAAAATACACAGACTTTAACTCTAACTCTAAAATATAAATAAATTTATACACATCTTATATTTCATATAGACACGTCTAATAACCAATAAAAATATGTCTAGTATTTTTATATATAAAGTCATTTTTAAACAATCAAATTTCATTTTTATTCCTAAATTTTGACTCTAAGTATATATAACCTACTAATATATAGAATAAAATACACAGACTTTAACTCTAACTCTAATCCTAAAATATAAACAAATTTATATGCGTCTTATATTTCATATAGATATATCTAATAACTAATAAAAAATATGTCTAGTATTTTTATATATAAAGTTATTTTTAACCAATTAAATTTCATTTTTATCTCTAAATTTTAACTCTAAGTATATATAACTCTGAATTTTAATTATTATTATTATCTAAATTCTGCTTAATTTTATCTTTTTAACAACAAATAAATTAGTTATATTAGCAAATATAAACAGTATAGCATATTATATTAATTAATTTATACCTTGTTCAATAGCATCTTTAGTTTATCAAATTTGACCTTATATTTGTTATTTTCTTAATTAGGTACTTCACTAATCTCAAGTACTATATCTAGTTTGTTAGCTGCCTTACTTTTAAGATCTGTTATATCTTTACTTGATTCTACAATTTGAAAATTAAAAGATCTTTTGGTTTTGTCTGAGTATATAATTACTTCATCTCTCATAAATCTAATTAGCTGAATCTGTTTATCTGAATGGTATAAGGATAGTAAGTATATAAATCATATTATATTACTATTATAGCATTCTAAAAAAAAATTTAAAAAAATTAATTAATTATAATAATTATTAAAATACTAAATAATTTAACAAAAACTGAATTTGGTTTTTGCTAAAAAAAAATTAATTATAATAATTAAAATATTAAATAATTTAACAAAAACTAAATTCAGTTTTTGCTAAAAAAAAAAAAATTACTTATAATTTTTTTGTTTTAAGATTTATTACAAAATTAAAAAGAAAGAGTGTGAATTTATATATAAAAAGAAG